TGGTTCTCCTAGAAGGTTACGTGAGCAAGAAACTAAAAGTCAAAAGACATATATATATACAAATCGTGGTTATTAGAAGAGTTCATTTGTCGTAAATTGCCATTGATTTTTGTTTTAATAGTGACATACTTTTAAAGATGGTCCTTTTGACACTTCCCAGCACATTATGTTAGCAATGCTAATGTATTAGTTGTCCTCCCTGAACTTGGATACAATTAAAAATTGATACTGAAAGAAAAATGTTGGAGACTTGTAACATTGTGAGATGTATTTTCTCTGAGATTGAATTTAGAGTTTCCTGGCTATAGCCCTGCATACTCAATATGCTGTGAGAGCTTAACTGGTTTCTTTCCATATCATAATAGGTTTTAAAATCCCCAAAATGAAACTGTTAACATTTAATATGCTATGCGTTGGCAACTGTACCCTACGAAACAGGATTCTGCAATAAAAGAAGTTAAAATTAAATTGAGGACCCTGCATGACGCTGAAGAGAGAATGGTTTTAATAATGCCATTTTCTTCTAACGTCTGTTGTGCAATAAAGACAGCCTGAAACAATACAATGGTGATCCAAACAAGGAATAATAAGAGCTGCAAACAACTAGGAAGATTTGCTTTCTTTACACAGTCTGTTATGAAATAATAAATAAAAACAGTGTCAGATCAATCTTCTACCTCCCACTGTTACTGTGAGCTTTTCCACCAATTAGTTTTACCTTTCTGTGGAAATTGTGCCTCACTGCAGTTACGTCTATACTGAGTAACAATTCTGGATTTATTTTTTTTTTTTTTTTCTGGCTAGAAAAGTAATTTCTGACTATCTGCTGTTCATGCTACCATTTAAAAGCTTACCTTGAGTGACTTGATTCTCTCTCCTGTGATTGAATTGTATACTGAGGCATGCTCAGGCAAAGCTATGCTACTACTTACATTTTCTGTTGCCTTTCCTCACTATTGTATGCCTGATTCTCATGTTAATTTAATTATTGCTGTCCTTCTCGACCTAGCAGTTGCTGCTCTCATTTATCACAGAGCTTGGGCTCACTGATGAAGACAGAGAATTGTAATGAATGGTTGTCACTAAATTTATTTTTTTTAAAAAAAAAAAGGGAGCAGATCTGCTAAATAAGATGTTAGAGCAGCAGTTAATTATTTTTCAGAGTAGATTCAGATTATTAATCATTAAAATAGATATTACAATTATCCAAGAAATAGACAGTAATACTCACATATTTGGCATTTTCAGGGGATTTTTTTTACATAAGTATTATGAAAAATTAAGATAATGAACAAAATAAACTCCATAATGTAGTTTTTTGTTCTGTCTCATGTTAAAAATTACAAAAATTGCTTAGTATTTATTTTAAATAACACAACTGTACCTGTTATCTCTGAAGGTGATGCAATTGCAAATAAAATACAGTGAATCAGCCTTAAATAATATCTATCTAGCTTTTTCATTTTTGTTACATCATGCTAAATGACCTGCTGCAAGTTTTAAAATTCATTTGAAGAATTAATGCATCATAGAATAAGACCTCAATGTTTATGTTCAGTCTGGCTCTTAATTATTTTGCGAGAGAAGTTGAGGTGACCTTGACTGTATTTTTTTCAGAATGACACATTAGAGACAATTTCTAGATAGCAGTCTTTTACACCCTCCTTATCCAATGCTTTGAGAGAAGACAACCTGTCTATGAGAGACAGGATCAGCCCACCCGGTAAATCCTGTCTCTCATATCTTCTCCAGTGCTACGACAGAGACAGGTTGTCTTCTCTCAAAGCATTGGATAAGGAGGATGTAAAAGACTGCTATCAAATAATTCTTCTTCTTCCAGTGAAGAGAAATATAAATTAAAAGAGAAAATGCCGCATTAGAAGAATCATTTAATAAAGCTGAGTGGCCTTATTAATTATCTTTTTTTTTAATAATTTGAGATTGTTATCTTCCAAAGTAGGTAGGCAATACTGTAGTTAAGTACTAGTTTGCCATAGAGAAGATGAGGATTCAGGAGGATATTTGAAGATAGTCTGTTGCAGCAAGGATCTTGTATTACTTTTAAGGATTACCGGCCTACATGAAGCACAGTCTGGATGACCAGGACAGTCATCTGCCCAGTACCTTTTAATGATTATGTTTCTTGCCATCTTTCATCCCAACTTTCAATTACTTTTACAGTATTTAATTTATATTTACTAAATCAAATTGAGAGATAAAATAAGTTTATACTGATCTGAGCTGGATCCTTGATGTTACATAACTGCTTGTTTTTCAAGTTCTTGCTTTTCTGTGCCAATAAAATGTGCAGCCAGGGCCCAGCTGTGCAATTGGTGGTATTAGCATATACATCTGAGTAATCTGAAGGTATCTAAAAAAACAGTTCAGTCCATGATCTTCATGACCTCAAAGAATGGCATCTGATGGTAAATAAGTGGTTACGTTGGCCTCAGACTAGTTCATAGGCCTTACAAGAAGTGCACTCATAATTGGAATTAGCCGATACCCTGATTTCTATTCTGAGCAGAGTCCAAGCATTAAAAGGATAAGAAATTTTAATTCCTTTTCTTAACCTTAAGACCTCTCTCTTCAGCTCGGTTACAGAAGGTATGTTTTTAGCTAGGTCACAGTATCACAGAGAATAACAATGAGTAGAGGACTTTGTAGTTCAACATTGTGACTTGAGAAAGGCTTGTTCCAATTTGCTGTCATCTTACCATACAGCAAGACTGACAGGACTGAAAAATACTAAATGTTTTAAAATTTGCTGGGCTTCGCAAGACATTTTGTTAGGGGTCTGTGTTTATATTTGAAGGACTAGTTTAGTCTCAATGTCTATGTAGATGCCGAATATTTACCTTCATTTTGCTTTTGGAAGCAGTTTGTAACTGTCAATTAACATAGCAATCCCTTGTATCTGTCCATCTCTTTGGCATGATTTGTGTCTCAGTACAAGGCTGGATGGTCAGTCACTGATGACTCAGTGTAGTTTGAGCACTCACAATATATCCAAAGGGCAGCGACACTCTCATGTCATCTACCATTCAGAGAAGATGAGTGACTTGAATATAGGAAGTTAGCAAGTTATTTATGGACTTGTTAGTGTTTTAAGCCATGGAAAAATCTACAGTTTTTATTCATCTTCCTGCACTGGAGCAATATTTCTTCAATTTTAAAGTAGGTATCAATTACTTTTTATATTTGTACTTGTTCTTTAATATGCTGCCTAAAATCAGAAGTTATTTCTGATGAAATAAAAGGCTGTACTGGTCAAAAATAAAATAATAGAAATGAGTTTTCTTCTGGTTTTTCTGTATTGAAAGCAGCAATAGATTTAGTAAATAAATTATTAAATCCAACCCTCTGAAAGAAGTGTGAAATATGCTAATAAAAAAGAATTGCTACTTTAAACATTATCAAAGGGATTTTACAAAATGCTTGACAGAATGCTTTATAACCAAATGAGTGACAGCTTTGCTATTTTGATATTTGGTGATCTTACATTGCCATTTTTTTAACTGTAAGTTTTTCCCTGGGAAAGTCAGGCACACAATGTTCTCAAATCATATGTCAGATTGCTATGAATAATGTTATTAGCATTGAGTGAGGCCAATTTTTAAGTAAAGCAGCTACTCCTTTTCCCCCAAAGGACAAAACCAGAAGCTAACAAGAAAGGCAAATATGTTCTCTATATCTGCCAGTGCATCCACGACCGTAAATAAATAAATTCTGCTACCTGTGAAAATCACAGCAAAAACCACACCCATGAGAGGCACAGTGTAGCCAGAAGAACAAAAAGAGTTTCATTAACTGCTTGGCTTCTTGATATTTTCAAGCTTCTGAAATAAGATTTTCATCTAGCTAATACTGTACTGCTGTGATTAAAGAGAGTGGCATACCCTGGATCTTCTGGCAGAAGCAAGGATATGACAGCAATTGCATCTTGGCACTCTTTAGAACAGAAACTTCAGGAAGTTATGAGTCAAGTTTCACTCTGCCAGCAGGCCCAGAGGTATCTGCTGGGGCCAATGCAGCAGTTGGAGAAGTTGGATGATGGGAAATGTACTATGTGGTGCATTTTTTTGGGAAACTGTTTGCTGGTTGCCTCCTGTGTATCCCTGGCTGGTTGGTACTAAAGGCTACATCCCCTTCTCCCCTCTCCCCAGGTGGCTCCCTGGGAAGCTCATGGTAAGTATTGCCTCTCCCAAGTGGTTGGCCTCTAGGCAGCGGAAGATAAATTCTAAGTGACCTGTCAGTCTCAGCTTTGGGGTCTTATTCTTCATATCTAGCTTCGCAGACTGCTGTCTGTAATTTGGAGCAGCAGTGCAAGTGCGACTGCAGTAGCTTTGTCAACGAGGTTAACTGTTTGAGGTGTGGTCTGCATAATCAGATTTTGAAGGTTGCATCTGAAAACAGAGGAGAGAATTCCTGAAATGGAATTAATTGCGTGCCAATGAGATGAACTGCTTACATGGTTTGTTACCATCAGTGTTATTAAAGGATATGGCTCACTTTGACAGCAGCTCTACTTGCAAAGCCCCAGCTCATTGGGGCAGGAGTATGTTCTATTAACAAGTAATGTGTACTTCATCTTTATCTTAAATTAATGGGTAAAAAAATACCTCTTTTCAGGTAATAAACATCATATTTTCATCTATGCAATGCTCAAAATTAAGATGTGCAGAAGTAATGTTCTTAGATTAAAATAAAAAATAAAATAAAAATATATATATATTCCCTTTCAGTGCTACAATTCCTGTAAGCTGGTTTATGGCCCACTTTTATTGTATATATCTTTATATACAGTTGCTTGTATGCCATAATACTGTGTTATCAAATTCTAGTTTCCTTTAACAGCACACTTTACTTTTCAGAATAGCCCTACTGAAAAGGTCTTGACAGGTTTGCTATGCATGCTTTGAAAATGATTGCTGTGTTTTCTCTATACTCTCGGGCACTAATACACACCTGATCTTTTACTCTTGTCTCTGTATCACCAGGCCTCCTGAACCTGTTTACAGCACTGTGAACAAACTGTGTGATAAACCACCTTCTCCTAGGCACTATTCCCCTGTCGAGTGTGACAAAAGCTTCCTTCTTACAGCTCCCTATCCCCACTACCACGTAGGCCTGCTCCCTGACTCTGAGATCACCAGGTACTGCATGCGCTTCTTCCTCACCTCCTTTGTTAGAGTGCATGACATCACTAGATTTATTTCATATTTTGCATCTTCACCATAGATCTTTTTCTACAGCTTATGCTTGTTTTTAACCATGCTTTCACATCTGCACCACTGGAAGATATATGCTATGTCAATATATAATTTTGGTCATCCAAAATCCAGTGATGAATACAGGCAATGTTTTGATCCATTGGAATGGTGCTCTAAAATAGGTTACATAAGACGTAACATATTTTACAACTAAATTCAGTATTTGTGTCTCTGCGAGTATGGAAAGTGACTAAGAATTCACTAAAAACTCTAGTAATTTGGTTTGATTCCAGTCATTTTATTTCTATGTTGCACATACTTTGTTCACTGAGCATCTTTGGATTTATAGAGTGGCTGCCTAAGCCATTCAGAAGAAATTGAGCAAAAAATAATTACCTCCCTCACCAAGTCATGGTTGAGAGTACATCTAAAATTTAGCATTCCCTAGGCTAGCTGTGCTCTGAGAAGACACAGTAAAACCTAAAATGTGAACATTTCTATGACTGAAGTAATGGAAGACATTTCTGTAAAATATTGTCAGTGATTGCCTCCTGAGAAATATTTAATAAAGAAAAACATACTATCCAAAACTGTATCCTAGTATAACCCAGCTGTTCTTCTGTAGTCTGCTAGGATAGTGGTAAGCTATCTGCAAACAAGATTGTGAGAGACAGAGGAAGAGTTAGGTACAAGTTTTCAAGAAGGTGTTGAGTGCTTCCTTTGTCAGGAAAAAAACCTATAATCTTTTGTATTCTAGAGTAGAAGAAAAATAATTCTATTTGGAGCTTTGATCGTAGGTATTTTCCACAGAAAACACTTTTCAAAGAAAAAAAGGAATGTGGGAAGAGGAGAGCAGAAGTGTGTAAATGGAAAGTAAAATGGTAAATTAATGTAAAATATAACAACAGGAAAGAAACTCCAGGAATTAGAAAAACAGCTGTGAAAGGCATTGCAGTGCTATGAAACTGAAAGCTAAATTAAAAAAGCAATAAGACAAAGACTAGTGAAGAATGTAACAGATGTGGTAAGACCATGCAGAAGCTGACAGTTTATTAGAATGAAAACTGTGTAGCTTCCAGAATTTGTAAGAAGATGCTTAATCACTGGACAAAGTGATTAGTCAAGCTGTTCATGCCAGTGCAAATATGGGTGAAAAACACTGATAAGGAGAATATTTTATAGAGGTAGAAATATCTCCAGAAAGGCACCAGGTACTAATCCATGATATTTTAATTTCTCTGCAAATATTATCTTAAAGGATATAACTAGCCAAAATGTAGTAAAATGTCTTCAGGTCTTTAGGTACAGAGAACACATGAGTAATTTATCTGTAAGCATCACAGTGCTTCTGTGTATTCAGAGACAGAAAACAGAAGAGATTGTTGTAAAAAAGATGTCTTAATCAACTCTTACATTCAAATGGTCCCTTTAGAAAGAAAGAAGAACTAGAAAGTTGAACAAGCATGTTCTAGGGGGTTTTGGGGCCATGGAGTTGTGTATTGGGAGCACTGAGGATTAGAATGTGGGTTGCTAACCACTGAGAGATGCAATTCATTGCTAAATGATTGATATCTATAGACATGACTGTCAGGACTATGGATACAGCTTGGGGGAAAAGTGTGCATCTCTTAAGGCTACTTCTTGCAGACCAGATACTCAGATGCAGATAACCAGTGGAACCCTGGAAAGCTCACAGAACTAAGCCACCTGAAGTAGTAATTCTCTACATCCTTTTGCTTTATTGTGTGATTGATTGAATACTTGATCATCAGATGTTTGATGACCTGACATCAAGACTTAAAAAGCTGTGTTTTGTTCTACTGAGTGACAGTTAGCAATTCTCTTTAAGAACAAGGTTTCACTTCTCTGCATTACACTTTGATGTAAAATTAAGCTCTAGTCCCTGTATATTTAATCAGTTTGTTTATTTCAACAGTCCAACAAAAACTGCAAAAAAACCCACAAAAGATGAGAAAAGACACAACTCAGTTCAAAGCTCTGCACAATGCTCTGCTACATGCTGTGGTAGAGGCAACTGATTGTTATAATTTATACTTCCTTCCCACTGTGAAATAAGACTCAGATGGAAAATATGACAGTTTTTGATGTTCTCAAATACTGTCATCTTTTCCACGAGACTCTCTGAATAGTTGATGGTGCAGGAGGACATTTGAAATATTTTACTAAATGCCCTTGGGGAGGAAAGTGACAGTTTTACAACATATACCATGATCCAATTTCCAAATAGACTCAGTATTCACAGTTGGAGAACAGAATTTAGAAAAGTATTAATCCTGTTTTGACCCTAATACAAGTGTTTATTTTTTCAGAAGTGTGCATTGTACACAGCCCTAAATTTCACAAAGGTGATGCATCTCAGGGCTGCATTGTGTTAAATATTTGGAAGAATGAATGCATAAAAAGATGTTGTTATAAATCCACATCTGTCCTTCAAATATTGACCGAGTATTTTGAAAGGTCTCCCTTTACTCTCCTGAATTCCTAAAAGCTCTATTCCTCTAATTTATACACGTCTCTGATCTTAAGTCAAATATAAAAAGATATTTCCCTGTTTTCCTGCAGGCTTCCTAGAAAGAGTTTTTCGTCAGAATTTGTCGGTCTCAGCTTTGTGGAGGAAGGGACAGGGATTATTTGCTTTTTTTAGTAACTGCAGTAATTGTCATACCTCCATGCTCCAATCTTGAGAATCCACTGCTGAATGGAAAGAAATTTGGTTTGACAAATAACTCTTCCAAAGGAAGAGAAACATGATGCATGTTCTCCCAGTTGAAATACTTGTAAGCCAGCCAACGCCTTTCAGATTGCTGCTTCAGATAATTTGTCAGCTACTCCTCAGATGGTTGGTTTTTCAAGGCTCATTAACTTAATAGGCAAAGAGAATTCATAGGCCAAAACCTTATTTGTCTATAATAAATTCAAGTTTATAAACCTTGCTTTTATTGTGGCCTGTTTTAGCTCCTGGGAGATTTTGAGGTCTAGAACAATATATTCCCATTTTAGGATAAAAGTAATTTGTTTTTTGATTGAACTATCAGTTCATGTAAATTGATATTAACAGTGCTATGCCATGTTCAACAGCTGAAAGTCTGTCCCATTGAAGGCAGGAGGAGAGAGGGAATTTTGGAATACTAAGTTTTTCTTTGAGAGCACCACGTGGGAATGGATGTCATTATTGACAGTTATGTGTACAATTAGAAGATTATCAGTAGTGAAAAGAAATCACAGTTCACAGTCTTTGCATTGAGAACTTCCTTACATTCACCGATACATAGACACCCTTTAAAAATGCTTTAGTTCTACTCAGAACTAACTTCCCTGTCTTCACTGAAATCTTTTTGGCACTCTAGTTGCCAGCACAGTTTTTGCTAAAGGGCAACCCTGATATTGTTGGCTTGTGTGATTTTTTTTTTTTACTAGGAATTTTCTTTTCTCTTAAGCCTTTGATCATGTGATTGCATCAATATTTTTTAATATGTGTAGGGGAATGGACTAAGGGTAGGGTTTCAGACTTTGTAGTTGTGGGAGAAAAGCTTAGGTGCATGACTTCTCCCAAGAAAATAAAAATAAGTGAAAATTTTTTTCATCTTAAGTCTAGGTTTCATAAATTTGCAAATCCTCCTTATGGCGCTTGGGTGCCTGGATTTGAAAGTGTTTGGCTTGCTTTTTAAATCAAAATTAGTTTCTTGAAGCCAGCCCCAGTTCTGGCTGATACTGTGATCTGCAGTCTTAGGCAAGGTAGTTAATGATTCGGTGCTTTGTTTTCCCAGTCTCTAAAACAGATTTAACAATGATCTCATAGACCTTCTTTGAAAACTAGTTCGGTCTGAGACAATAGCATTGTATTACTAATGGCAATTTATGTTATTATTTAATAACATCAAAATTATTTTAAGGTATTTGATGAATTAGATTAATCGGTTCTTGGGACCACCACTACTTTCTCATCAATAGGGATTAGGGAGAGAAGATAATATTGGCACAGGGGTCTAGAGCAAAACCTTTTGCAGAAAACAGCATGACATTTGCATAAGTATTCAAGAGTAACTGAGCATTGTGTAACTCTACAGAGCTACACAAATAGAAGTGTGCTGAAATATATGCAGGACATATGGGTAAGAAGACCATAATATCCAGAATCTTAATGATTGATGCATGAAGCTACATGCAACGGGTGGCTGAATTCCCACAGCCTCTGTGTAAGCACACAAGGGTCACTACACTTCAGTAGTCTCTGCAAGCAGACTGGTGTATGTCTGCAATGATAAGCACTACTGTTTGTGGTCACCTCACTGAATTTTAGGGTTCCCTGGGTTCCCTCCAAAGGCCATGAGGGACAGCTGAGAAGGTGCTGACTGCTTTTCAGTGATTCTAGCAGGAAGTTAAGGTAACTACACTTGCAGAAGGTGTGACTGGTGGGCCTCCCTTGTACTTATTGCTATAGTGTCCTTTTTCATTTGATAATATCTCTGCAGCCTTTTCTTCACAATAACCTGCTGGGAGCAGGTCAAAATTATTGTCAAAATGATGCATATAACTGCACTTGTGTGTGTCTGCCTTCCAGGGACACTCTTGTCATCTTTATTGAAATTCACATTGTATGGGAGTTCTCATCGTCCCCTTTTCAATCCCATGTGTTTAATATGGGAATTATATCTCCCAGAACAAATCTAGCCATATTTTGAGTTTTTTGAAATGCCTGTTAACCTGAAAATGGGACCTATCAAAGAGCAGTAAAAAGAATGGTTATTATGAAATTGAGTCTTCAGCTTGCCCCACATTAACACAACCACCTTTCTTGAGGTTAAAACGAACTTTTACTGTTGCGTTGTATTCACTTATTTATTTTATATGAAAATTTCAAATAATAATTACAAATTTGGAAATTAGTCTCTTTTGGGCAAATGGATTTAAATGCTTATATA